AAATGGACCTGGAGTATGGGGAACTACCCCCTCCACTTGGGAAAATACCATTGGCAGGGCCCATTGGCAGAGGGCCCCTAATGGAGAGCCCTGCAGAAGGGGTGAAATGTAACACAGCCGAGCTTCAGAAGGGGAAGGAAGTGGGGCGGAGCAATCCAGTGTTATACTAAAAAGGGTGATTTGTATTTCATTCTAAAGGCAATGGGGAGCCAATGAAGTCTCTTGAGGAATGACAAGGGTGTACTTGCGTTTTAGGGAAATCACTTTGATTGCTATATGGAGGATGGATTGGAAAGAGGACAGACTAGAGGCAGGAGTACCCATTAGGACCTTACTGCAATAGTCCATAAAGAGGTTGATGACTGTGTGACTGGAGGGAAGGGGACAGCTTTGAGAGATGTTGTAGAAGAAGAATTGACCAACTGATTGGATATTAGAGATGAGGACCAGGGAGGAATAAAGGATGTCAGTGATCTTCATTAAAGCGAGGGGAGAGGGGAAAGAATGCCTGGTGAAAAGATCAAAGCTGTTAAAGTCTGTTGAGCACTGACCCTGGGGGACACAGGGAGATGGCTAGATGAATTGGGCCTTAGGAAGAAAGAAGGGTTTGGAGGTATTGTGGGCTTGGGACTTGTCTCTCTGGTAATCAGAAATTGGGTACCCAGCCCACTGGAGGTAGAGGCTAGACATGGTCCGTCTGGAGGCTTTATAGGCCAAAAGACATGCAAAATTAACTAACCTGCCTCCAGCGTGTGATGGATCTGGGGATTGTGGTGTTATGGGGTTGTATCTGCAGACTGTCTAACTCTCAGGTGGCTTCATGCCCCTTGGTGATGTACATGGGACTTGTAGTATTGGTTCTGTGCGGGAGATGTGATCAGATAGGAGTCTGCTTGAAGTTTTGCCCAGGTGGTTTGGCTTCCTCCATACTGTTCTATGCCAGCATCCTACTTGTTTGAGCAACATCCCCTGTCTGTCCCACCCAACTCCATCATGTACCAAAAACCTAAGAGGAGACCTCTAAAGCATAGGCAAAGTATCCTGGAGATGGTGTGAGACTCATGCGTGCCTTTCCCTGTGCCATAGTAAGGGTCACTTCACGGTCCCCAGAGATACTTCAGCTTGTCCCCAGGAAGATGCATGACAGTACAGCCTTGTACTAACTGCAAGTTCCCTTGCCTCAGTCACAAGGGCTTTGGCAACAGCCCTGGCTGCCCTCTGGCACAGTGGAATGCAACCCTTCAGGGAAGGACTTCTGGGATTTCAGTGGTCCCAAGATGTTCCGCACCCCACAAAAAGACATGTTTCCTACTCAGGCTCCAGTCAGATGCCACAAAAACTATTGGAGACTTCATAGTATGTCAGACCTGGATGGAACTTTAGCAATCATCTGGCTAACCCTCGAATTTTTTTTGATGTTTAATTAATTTTAATTAAACCATCCCATTACAAGTAACAACCCTCTCATTTAATAGAAGAGGAAACAGACCCAAGAAGGGGAAGCAACTTGCCTCAGGCCACACAAGAAATTGGGAGTAAAAATCTCATGATGCCTCTTTACCGTTCATTTAAAGGAAACACAATCCTGGCAAAGAGACCACAGGAAAACCTTTAACTGTCAGGAGGAGGGAATTTCAGGGGGCCATCTGGTGGGGAAAGCCAAATGGTGGAGATGGGGGAAGGTATGGATGGGAAACAGAAGCTGAAAGGGGAGAGAGAAAAAGGGCAAACAGAAAAAAAATATGGGACTTCACAGACAAACATCACCATTTTGTCTCAGGCCGACCTAGTTCCCAGGGTCATTCATGTCAAAGCACATTTATTTACTGGAAGAGGAAAAAGAAAGACAGAGAAACATGATGTGGTGGAAAGAACATGGCCTGTAGACTGGGGTTCTACTTCCAAATCTGCCAATAATGTTCTATGGAAATCACTTCACTTCGATAAACCTTGGTTTTCTCTGACAAAATGAGGGGATTGGACGATATGGTCTCCAGTTCTAACATTCTGTGTTTTAAGTCTTTCTAAGGTCCCTCCCAGCTATCAAATTTTATAGGCTAAGATTCTATGCTCTAAGGCCTTCCAAGTCTAATATTTTAGAGTCATTTGCGGCTCTAGTAATTTATGGTATAACATCCTACGTTTTAATGTTCCAAGTTCTAAGCCCTTATTACAGCTCTAACACTCTACATTCTAACACTCAATATATTCTAAGGTTATCTCCAGTCCTAACATCCTATATTCTAATGTTACAAGTCCTCAAGTTGCTTCTAATGCTAATATCCTCTCTTCTAATATTACAAAGTTACCTCCAGTCCTAACGTTTTATATTCTAACACCTTATTTTCTAGTATTCTAGGTCCTAAAGTCATTTACAACACTAATGTTCTATTTCTAACATTTTCTATTCTAAGGTTCTTTCCAATCCTAATGGTTTATGTTCTAGGTAATTTACACTTCTAATATTCTGTGTTCTAACTTTTACATTCCAAGGTCACTCCCAATCCTAACATTTTGCATTCTAATTTTCTATGTTCTAAGGCTTGCAGCTCTAATATTCTCTGTTCTAGAATCCTACAGTCTAAGGTCATTCTAAGTGTTGCCATTTGACATGCTTGGGTCTGGAAGTCCCTAATAGTTACCCTTTTTTCACCCCATGTGCCAAGGTGCCCCTCACTCTGACAGGCTGGGTTTTATTTGTTTTCCATATGCCTTTATTATCAAAACCAAATGCCATTTATTATCAAAATGGATGTGCTTGCATACATGGAGTGAGTCATCATCAAGGGTAAAATCAGCACCAAGGAGGAGCTGGGCCCCTCTGCTCTGGGCACCGTCAGGGTGGCCATGGCTACGGACAGGTAGCACTTAGCTTATTGTGAAGGGATTAGGGAGGGCGGTGTTGGAGATTATCGTGAAAGATGCTAGGCCTTGATAGACCTCTCTGTCCTCCTGACTCACTGTGTGACCTGGCCCAAACCTCTTTCACCCTACAGCCTCCAGTTTCCTCCTACTCCTCCCCCTCTAAAAAGGCCACAGAGGAGCTGCTAACCATGCTAATGAAGCAGCTCACCTCTTCATGAACTGAGTTGGTGAAAGGTGAGCAGGGTTAAGCCAGTGCCCCGAACAGGGAGACAGAAGATCTGGGGTCTAGTTCTGGCTCAGCCTGATTTGCTGTGTGACCTTGGTCAAGGCACTTTTCCTCTCTGGGCTCCAGTTTCCTCCTCTGTAAAATCCCACTTGTCAGGGAGGTTAGAGAGGGGATTTCTGGTCGGGTATAGTTTGGACTAAATCCAATGAGATTGCGTAAGTAAAGCATATTGAAAACCTCCAGCAGTCACGTCAATGGTAGTGACTTATTCAGATTCTGACGGTCTCTGAGGGTCCTTCCAGCCCAGAAATTCTGAGGAGATTCTGAGGGTCTTGAGCGGCATGGTCATCAGGGTTCCCTCCCTCACCCAATAACACACTGTGAATGATAAGGGGGGCATCCTGATTTGGATTCCAAGTGTGGCAAACTCCTTAATCCTACTTCCGGGGCCCTGCTATAAGGGGAGCGAGGTCCTGGGAGGAGGTCGCTTTCATAGTCACAATGGCCCTGTGGTGGAACATGATAAAGGGGGACTGTCAACAATCTTTGGGATGTTAGGAATAGAAGGAGCATCAGAAACCATCTAGTTCAACCAGGCCCTATTTTACATGTGGGGAAAATGAAGTCCAGAGAAAGGAAGCAACCTGTGCAAGATGACAGAGGGAAGTTTGTACCTGCCCTATAACTGGGACTAGCACCAGGCCTCCTTAATTCCAATTTGGGCTTCTTAGCAGTGGGAATCATCCTGGGGCTTGTTATTTACTGGGGTTCTTCACCCCCTCCTTTTCTCTCTCCCTCCTCCTCCCACAGGCACTAGGATCTTCCATCCTCTCTTCCCCACTCTCTCTGGCACTTACTCTCAGCTCTGCTCACACAGGCATTTTGAAGTTGGTTGGTACCTTCTTACTGGTGGAAAATTCTGACTAGTTAGTTCTTTTTGATTGTGAGTTTCCATTGACTATGGTTCTTGTTGGCTAGAGAGGTTTGATTGGTCAAAGAGTTCTTATTGGCTACAAATCCTTTATAAGTTCCTTATTGCCCATGAATTATTATTGGCTACTGAGATCTTATTATTTCTTGTTGCTGCGTCCTTATTGGCCCAAGTTTTTATTAGTTACTGAGATCTTAATAGCAAGTTCTTATAGGCTGTGAGGACTTCTTACCGGGCACAAGTTTTACCGGTTACTGAGATCTTATTAGCCACAAGTTCTCATAGGTTGATAAGGAATTCTTATTGGCCACGAGTTCTCATTGTTTCATGAGATCTTAGTAGCCACAAGTTCTTATAGGCTGATGAGTCTTTATTGATCACAGGTTCTTACTGGTTACTCAGAACTTAATAGCTACAAGTTTTCATAGGCTGATGAGGAATCTTATTGGCTACAAGTACTTATTACCTCTTGACCTCTGATTGACCAGAAGTTCTTAGAGGCTGCTGAATCCTTATTGTCTCTAAGTTCTTATTAGTTACTGAAATCTTGGTAGCCACACCTTTTTTTTTTAGACAATTGGGGTTAAGTGACTTGCCCAGAGTGACACAGCTAGTAAGTGTCAAGTCTTTGGTCTGAGGCCAGATTTGAACTCAGGTCCTCTTGACTTCAGGGCCGGTGCTCTATCTACTGCACCACTTAGCTGCCCCACAGATAGACACACAGCTAGTCACTAAACATATGCCTGAATGTGTTTCACTTTGTATTTTGTTGTTTTTTGTTGGGTTTTTTTGTTTTGGCTAGGCAATGGGGTTAAGTGACTTGCCCAGGGTCACACAGCTAGTAAGTGTTATGTGTCTGAGGCTGGATTTGAATTCAGGTCCTCCTGACTCCAGGGCCAGTTTTCTCTATCCACCTGGCCACCTAGCTGCCCATAGCCACAACTTCTTAAAGGCTGATGAAGAATTCTTATTGGTTACAAGTTCTTCTTGGCTCCTGAATTCTTTTAGGCTCTCATTGATCTCAAGTTCGTATTGGCTGCTGAGTTCTTATTGGCCTATAGTTCTTATAGGCTGCTGAGACCTTATTGGTCACAAGTTCTTGTAGGCTACTGGGTGTTTATTGGTCCCAAGTTGTAACTTGGAAGAGATTGTGAGATATTAGCAGTCACAAATTCTTACCAGCTGAGTTCTTATTGGTCTCAAGTTCTTATTAGTTAAAAGTAGAAAATATACCACTGAAAGGCCAAGTTTTTCTCCCCATGTTTGAAGAGCAAGGAAGGAGGAATCTCTCCCTGCAAGGCACCTGTGGGAAAAAATTTGGCATTCACATTTAGTATTCACATTTGACGTTGTGAAGCCAAGGAGAAAGTCAGGAGTGATTATAATTCATCCTTCTTCCCCAGGATGAGCTTCCCCACAAGCTCATGGATCTTGGGCCGAATCTCCTCCACTGATACAGTTGAGTCCCAGGCTCCCACCACTTTTCCGTTCGGGGCTACTAGGTATTTCCAGAAATTCCAAGTTGGCTCTTCCCCGGAGGATTCTGGATAAAAAGGAAGATGAGAAAAGTCCATAAACTCAGGTAGGTCTTCATATCCTACCATAGGGAGATGGTGGGGAAAAAGGTTTCTAGGTTCCACAGACCAGACCATCTACTCTCTTACTCCAATTACTTCTCCGCTCCTCCGGAAATTTCACCATTAGCACTCATCCCTCTGGCTCTGAACCTGTGAAAAAACACTCCATGTCCTGAGACATGGAGTTCTCAGTCACTGACTCCTCAGTGTGAGTGTCTTTCTGATCCTTTCCTGAGAGCACTGTCTTGATAATGAGGGTAACCTATACAAGCGATGTTTAAGCTTTTGAGGTCCCTTCCAAATGTTTGGATTTGTGTTTTTCTCCTTTATTTTTGGCTAGTGAGAGGTAGAGGAAGAAAGTTACAGGCTCCTATTTCTGAATTGTTCATGGTTTATAATGTGCTTTCCTCGCTACAAGCCTTTGAGGTGGGTGGTTTGAGTATTACCATGAAAGGATGTGTCCAGAGTCACACAACTAGGGAACTCAGGAGACTTGAGTTCAACTCCAGAATTCTTTGTACTGGAGCAGCTAGGTGGCACTGAACCTGGAGTCAAGAAGACTCAGTTTCATGAGTTTAAATCTGGCACTGTACACTTACTAGCTGTGTGACCCCCAGCACATCACTTCACCCTGTTTGCCTCAGCTTCTTCATCTATAAAATGAGCTGAAGAAGGAAATGGCCAACCACTCCAATGTCTTTGCCAAGAAAAGCCCCAAATGGGGTCACCAAGAGTGGTCATGACTGAAATTGATTGAATAACAACAATAACAATAAATTATTTGTACTATACCACATTGGAATGTTGGAAAAAGTGTGTGAATCAAGGTGAAAGGGAGGGCCTGGGTCTTTAATGAACTTTACTTAAGCAGGCCCAGGGGATACTAAGACAAAAAGGAAAATAAACAATCCTTACCCTCCAGAAGCTTACATTCCACAGAAGGGATGCTGGATATTTACAGATAAGCAAACCCAATTCAATTCAACAAGTATTTATTAAGTACTTGTCTTAGAAATTTGCCCAAGGCTCTGAGGGTAAGTGACTTGCCCAGTGTGTGGTAGAGGCGGGACCTCGTAGCTGTTTTATAAATACTCCTTAGATTGCTTTGAGTAAGATGTGTCAATCCTAAGGGACCAGAGAAACCTGAGACACCGTTTGCTAGGATGCCTAGACTGGCCCTGAGTTCCTTAGGGGATGCAGCTCACCAATTAGATACTTGAAGGCAGCATTGGCCCCAGTACCACGGACAGCGATCTTGCTGAACATAGGGAAGGAGACTCCATAGGTCTTCCGGGCAAAGTTCTCAATCTCCTTGTTGGTGTCTGGCTCCTGCTGGCCAAATTGATTGCAAGGAAAGGCCAACACATTGAAATGGTGTGGACCCAGGTCTCGCTGCAGCTGCTGAAGAGCTCGGTAGTGCTGGTCTGTATAGCCACACTCACTGGCCACATTGACAACCAGTGACACCTGGGGAAAGAGGATAAATTCTTATTGACTGATTGACACCTACTCACAGAAGTGGATGGCCGAGCAAACATGCAGGAAGAGCTATAGTTTCATATGGAGTCATGAACACAGGCACAGGTATGACAGCAATGAGAAACAACTGGGCACTAAGGGAGATACATAGTTTAACTCAGATTCAGTCGCTGTCTTCGTGGAGCCTACAGTCTAGTAGATTAATAGGACACAAATACATCTAAGTGTGAGACACGGTGTTGAATTATATGTACTAATAAAGACATGTATGTGTACATGTACGGATATAGACATAGCATATATCTATATACACATACATAAATATACATATAATAGCAGCATTTATATAGGGCTTTAAGTTTTACAAAATGCTTTACACATATGATCTCATTTTATGTATTGTCTCATTGTAGATATCATAGATCCAGTCATATATATGTGCATATATATTTATATATAATTTATCATCTCCATGCAAATAAACCCTAGCCCTAGCTCTCTCTTCTGAATTTCTGTATCATTTCACAAGCTACCTACTGGACATTTCCAACCAGTTGTCTCATAGACATCATACATGCAACATATCTAAAACAGAACTCACCTTTCACCCCAAGTGCTCCCCTCATCTGAACTTCCCTATTGCTGTTGAGGAACCACCATCCTCCCAGTCACCCAGGCTCACAACTTGGGTATCATCCTTGACTCCACTGTCTCTCAACCCCCTCCCATACCCAATCAGTTCATAAGTTCTGTTGATTCTAAATTCACAACATCTTTCCTACACCCCATTCCTTCTCTGACATTGCCACCAGCCTGGTACAGTCCTTTATCACCTCATGCTTGGAATATTTCCATAGACTTCTGGTTGACGTCCCTGCCTCTAGCCCCTCCCCATTCAAGTCTATCCTACTCAGCCATCTGAGTGATCATCCTAAAGTACAGGTCTCACTTGTCATTCCCCTATTTAAAAACAACAACAACAACGACAACACTTCGGTGACTCCTGATTGCCCCCAGGATCAAATAGAAAATCTTCCGTTTGGGTTTTGAAGACTTTTATAACCCAGCCCCTTCCTATTTTTCCAATTTTCTTATACTTTCCTCTCCTCTCTGTACTTTAAGATCCAGTGACACTGGTCTTTTTGCTGTTTGTCCAACAAGATACTCCATCTCTGGACTCGGAGTGTTTTCACTGGCTTTCTCCAATGTCTGGAATAGTCATCTCCACTTCCTGACTTCTCTGGCTTCTTTCAGGTCTCCGCTAAAAAAACCTACCTTCTGCTTAACCCTGTTTGCCTCAAAAAAAGGAAGCAGGGCAGCATCTGGCCTCAGACACTTACTAGCTATGTGACCCTGAGCAAGTTACTTAACCCCCATTACTTCAAAAAAAAATCCTACATTCTGCAAGAAGTCTCTCTGGGTTCCCCAGTTAATTCTAGGGTCTTCTCTCTGAGATTATCTCCAATTTACATGTATGTTTCTTATTTGTAAATTGTTGTTTGCTTGTCCTCTCCCTGCGTTAAATTGTATGTTCTTCGAGGGCAGGAACTATTTGTGCCTTTCTTTGTAAACCTATACTTTAGCACAGTGCCTTACACATAATAAATGTTTATCAACTGTAAACAAGATCTATATGGGAGAAATTGGAGATAATCTCAGAAGAAAGGCACCAGCATCCTGGGAGATAAGAAAAGGCTTCCTGCAGAAGGGGAGATCTTAGCTGAGACTTTAAGGAAGCTAGGAAAGCCAGGAAGGAGTAAAGAATTCCAGTGAAAATGCAAAGACTTGGCAATTGGGCTATCTTGTTTGAGAAAACTGTAAGTCTGGGCAACTGGAAGGATGGCAGTGTTTTTTCAGCAATGGGGAAGTTAGAAAGTTAGAAAGGGGGGAAGGTTTGGGGGCCCACCACAGTGCCTGGAACATAGTACCTGCTTAATAAACACTTGTGGATTGATTGACATCAGACTCTGATTTTCATACTGTCAGTTAAGTGTCGAAATGGATAGAGTCCTGGGCCTGTAGTCAGGAAGATCTGAGTTCAAATCCAACCTCAGAGGCTTACAACCTGAGTGACCCTGGGCAAGTCATTTCACCTGTTTGCCTCAGTTTCCTTGACTGTAAAATAGGGCTAATAATAGCACCTACCTTGAAAGGTAGTGGTGAAGATCAAATGAGAAAATGTGTAAAGCACTTAGCACAGTGCCTGGCACATTGTAGCCACTTACTGAATGCTTCTTTCCTTCCCTTCACCATAAACCAATTTGGTTTTTTGGATTAGCTCTGTGATTTTTGAGCTCTTAGCCAGGACCTCCCTTCCCTCATGCAGTTGACAGATGTAGATGGAGCCCTGAGAAGCGATTTGCCAGGGTCGCACAGCCAGGATATATTAGAAACAGGTCTTGAATCCAGGTCTTTCTGACTCAGAGGACTCCTCTCTCTCTACTAGGTAGCATTGCTTCTCATAGCATTGCTTCTGGGGGTGTATGTATTCACACACCCAGACACATATGGCTGGACTTATGATTTCATTGGTGAAGGGCACTCCCAGATGAAGAAACTCCCTCTCCCAAAGCAGATTGGCACCTTCTTGGCAACTTATAGTCTTGGAGAGTTGCTTGGGGCACTGAGAGCTCAAGTGACCTGCCCAGGGTGAGTCTGAGGCATGACTAGAACCCAGGTCCTCCAGACTCTCCAAGGAGAGCTCTCTGCCCACTGTCACACTGCCTCTCACAGCTTACACAGATACCTATAAGCAGAGAACCATGTGTAGGAGCATGACCACATCTACACAAGCACAGATATCCAGTGTCATAGAAGATGCGCAAACATGTATATAAATATGTTCCCAGACATGAACATAATGTACACGGCACAAACACTGTATGCACATGCACACACACGCACATTAATAGACAACCTATAGAATTCTCATGCCTACGGGTCCTTAGACTATCCCAAAAATCACAGCATGGCAGGTAGGCTTAGAGGAACAACTGAGATCCTCTAGTTCAACCTGCACTTCTTCCATTAAAAAAAAAAAAGAAATCCTTCATTCTCAGGGACCACCTTTAGAGTTGGGTTGTCTTCTCTGCGCATTAGCACTAACTCTTCCAGGAAGAAGGGGAGGAAAAGGTCAGACCTCCGGGGCAGGGCCAAAATCTGACCTCCACGATATCACAAAGTTGTCTTGGCTGGTACTTTTAAAAATATATTTGCATTTTCACACTGGGCTTGGCTTTCCTTATCTGTCAGAATGGAATAATAATAGCACACATTCAGGCCCAGGCTGGGTTTTAAATTGCTTCCCCTATCCTATGTCATGTGAACTTCCCCACTTTACCTTATAAGGAGGAAGGGTGTCCATACAGCAGGCCCGTGATTTTGTCCGACAGCTGCAGATTGCGACTTGTCTATAACTTAGTAGGTAAGGCTTAGGGTATGTAAGTGGCCATTTGGATACTAATATTATCCAAACAGATGACCATAAATGGCTAGGCTGGTGAAGAGCCTTGAGTCCATTCCATGTGAGGGTCACCCCATATGAGGATTGGTGGAGAGACCTAGGCGTGTTTAGCCTGGAGAAAAGAAGAGCCGAGGGGGGATGGGAGAGCTCAGTTCAAGGTGCTGAAAATCTGTCATGTGGAAGAGGGATTAGCTTTGTTCAATTGGGCCCCTGAGGGCAGAACTGGGAGGGGCTAGAAAGTGCCAAGATGCCAATTTAGATTTGAGGTTGAGAAAAAAAAAAATTTCCGCACCTTTGAGAAGTGGTTCGGGCGACCTCAGGAGGTAGGTCCTGGACTTCCCTCCCTGGTCTTCAAGTATCACCTGTGTGCCTCATTGCTCGAATAGGTTGGACAAAATCAGGGGTTCGTGGCATCCCGTATCCCTTTGGCAACTTAGGAAAGAAGATGGAACCCTTCACAGAATTGTGGTTTTTTAATAATTTTTTAAAATGCTAAATTTAAGACAGAGTTTAATGAAAATAAAGAGAAATTTTCCCATCCAAGCTCATGGACCTCCCTGAAATCTCTCCACGTATGTACGTTAGATTAAGAACCCCTGGACTAAATGAATACACTCCTCAGGTCTTCCCTAATTTTATAATTCTGTGATATTATAATAAATAATAACATACTATTGACATAACAGCATAGAACTCTTCGGGCTCAATCAGGCATCAATGAACAAATGTTTATTAAGGACTTATAGGATGAGGAACTATGCCAGGGACCGAGGATAGAAAAAGCAAATGTGAGATGGTCCTTGCCTTTTCTTCCCATAGCTTCTGAGGTTGGCAGTGGCCAATTATGCCCATTTTACAGAGGAGGAAAGTGTGCCTCAGAGAGGAGCAGGGACCAGGCCACGGTCAGACCCAGGGCTAAATAGTGGCAGAGGAGGGGCTAGTTTAGGTGATTGGACTGTAAGTCAGGCTCTATGAACTGGCCCCCTCAGTTCTGGCTGGTGTGGCAGGCTGTGGCCTGGCCTTGCAGTGTACCTGGGGGAGCCCCGAAGGAGTGAAGGCATCCCTAGGCCTGCCTCTGCCACTTGCTTTGAGTGTGACTAGATTTCCTGGGAAGTCCCTCCTATCTGTATATTTCTACAATCCTAGCTATATGACTTTTAGAATAATCCACTTCCTGGGCCTCTGCTTCCTCCCTTGCATAAAATGGGGTGGGGGCTGAACTAGCTGCATCTGGGGTCACTTGGAGCTCTAGGCCTATGAGCCTTGGCTTTCGCCACAGAGAGGGGCTCTCTAGGCCCACGCTATTTCCATTTAGGGCCTGCCTGCCTGCTCTTCTAGCTCAAACAGCAGGTGTCAATGTAGCAAGGCTGCGTGCGCATCCGTCCTTGGCCTCGGCCTTGGCCACAGAGTGACAGCAGCATCTGCACTGGGCCCGCCCCCCGCCCCCCGGAAGGCAGCTTCCCCGGAAGTGGCCGCCGCCTACCCGCAGCAGCCGCCACCGTGGCAGCAGCTGCCACGCTGGCCC